GGGGGGGGGGGGGGGGGGGGGTGTTGCAGAGACTCTCACCTATCATGCGTTCTGGAGTGGCTGAGCAGCTGTAAGCAGAGTTTGTCCTCGTGTTGCCACGAGGTTTGTTGTTGTTTCAGTCGGTGACATCAAAGCTGCGTTACATTTGGRCGTTGATTCCAGCCGGCGTGGAAACAGGCAGCAGAACAGAGTGGTGACATTAGAAACAATGAGGCACAGCGGAGGATTAACGAGAAGCAGGAAGTATTAATCAGAGGAGCCTGAACTCATGTCAGGTTTAATGATGATGGTCTTATTGGCTCGTTCTGAGTCAGCTTTTATCAGTCAGCTGATTTGTGTTGGTTTTACATATTTGGTTTATTCTCCATTAAAGGGACAATTTGGATCATGGAAGTGGGGATTAATGGAAAGGTCAACTCCATAATATCTGAGGTTTGAAAGCTAAATATTCAAACACTTCTCTGCTGTAAGTATTTCCAGACTAGACCATTAAAGGGATTTGTTAGAAATATTGAAGATTTCAAAATAAATTTACTTTGGAGGAATCAGAACAGGAGAACGTTGGATTTGTCTCCACAGGACCTGTTGGTGTTCGTGTTTCAGAAACCCAATTAAGACAACACAACAAAACATTGATCGGTTTTATTGTGACACATTGGCTCCTTAATTTACAGAAATTACAAAAAGTTATTTTGAAAGCGCCTGCTTTAGAAACTAGTTTAAAGCATTAGCTCGCAGTACTGAGGGCGTACAAGCTGTAGGGTGGGGAAAAAACATTGCGAGGCATCTGACAGCCGACAGCAGCTTCTAGTTTCTGGCTTCACCTCATCTGCTCGTCAGCTTGTGGCTGATTATTTTTTATTTCGTTTTAGTTTCCAACAACAGTGCTGCTTCTGAGAAATAGTGTGCACAGGATTGTCCAAAACGCCATCAAAGGGTGGTGAATCCAGTCAAATGTTGAGTTTGTGTCTCTGAAAAATGGTTTGCAGTAACGTGTAGTCTCTGGTGATCGTTTCTTCTGTCGTTTGGTTTTTCGAAGAAAAATAAAGAGGGATGTAAATAGGATCCTCCTAATATTGTTGTTCACCTGCTCATAATTAAAGACTCATCAGGACGCAGGAAAAACGAATGAAAGCCATTAAAGATCTTTCTTTCATAGCCAGGAAACATTTTAACTCCTCGCAGTAATTACAGATCTGTGGAGAACCACCGAACTCCGGTGGTTTCCTTCCTCAGGCCACTGAGCTCAGCTGAATTTTTTTCATGTTTAACATGATTTATTCTGTGCTTTGTGTTTTTGTGATTTACTGGATTCATTATGAATTCTTCAGTCTGGTTTGTGTCTGTCTTGTTTTGGTGTAATCGTCACACCTACGATGAGTCAGTCGTTCCTCAGCAGGTCCCTGTTTTTATTCCTCATCAGGTCTTTCTTCAGACCTTTTCGTTCCTTATTCTGCTCTGACTTTATGTTTTATTCAGCTTTTGTTTGGCTTGTTTTAGTTGAGTTTATTCCGGAACAAACAACCTTGTTCTGGCTCCTGTCGGCCTGATGTTGGGTGTTTTTTTCCCCACTCAAAAACAAGGTTCCATATTTTTATTTTTGACACGTATTTTTGTAAATCTTTGTGTCAGCAGCAGGTACAAAATGCTGCTGCTCCGCTTTGAACAGAAACACAATTGGCCTCAGGCTTCCTGTTTGATTTATTTTTAAGATTTTATTTCATTGTACAAAACCCACAGGATTGTTAACTTCCTTATCATTTATCTAGAAGGAGGAGGTCAGACAAATGGATGACAGTTTAGCCTCTGAGTGAGCAGCGTTTCCCTCCAGCACCGCTTCAAGTTGACCATTAAACGGTAGAAATCACCTCTCTGACTGCTGATTAAAAAGTGTGAAGCATTTCTTCTACATTTCCCTCCAAAAGGCTCTTTGTTCCTTTTTAAGGTGTTGATTAAAATCTGTGTGTGGCTCGGTCATGATGAACATGTTGTTCCAGTGTCTGTAGGATGAAAAACAATCAGCCGCTCCCGTCACAAGTGCTCTGAGGTGATGAGGTCTGATGATGTTATTTGCTGAAGTGATTTTTACATTTAGAAAATCGCTTTGTTTATGGTCGATAACCGGAGGAGAAGTTCTAACAAAAACGTCTCTGTTTAGTGGTTTTATTTCATTAGTATTTAAATTGTCCATTTGATATTCCGCAGACACAAACATCAACTCTTTACTCATTTTAAAGTTGGAGTTTTTGTGTTAAATGGACTGAATTTGCAGGCTGGTTTTTATTCACTGTTCATTCATTAATGCAGAGAGTTTTCTTTATTCCTTTATTATATATTTTTTGGTTGTAGACGTGATTAAAGACAAACTCAGATTTTATATTTGTTCACAGTTTAGCTTTTATGTTTTTGGGGATCCAGTTGTTGGCAGAAGACCAACTTTACCTCCTCAGCTGCTCTGCGAACAGCTTCAAACCTCATGATTACGTCTCTTATTTTAGATTTTTATCAAACATTCAACCTGCATTTTAAACATGATCATATTTGTTGATTTACAGTGCCGTGCAAAAGTTTTAAATCATTCCTGACTTCTTTAAATTTTGCTTCCAATGAGCCAGATGTTTAGATTTTTTTTTAAGTCTGAAGAAATAAAGGCTGCATCAAAACCTTTTTATTGGTAAAAATTCCCTTTTCTTTTCTACAGAAATTGGATTTTGAGGCCAGTTTTGTCGTGTGCATYGTAAAATGGAAAATCTTTTTCCCGTGTGTCATACATGAAAGCATATACAGCGGGTAAAATAAGTATTGAACACGTCAACATTTTCCTCAGTAAATATATTACTAGAGGTGCTAATGACATGAAATTTTCACCAGATGTYVGTAACAACCCAAGTGATCCATACATACAAAGAAATCAAACCATAAATGTCCAGAAATGAAGTTATTTGTAATAATGTGGAATGGCAAAGGGAAAAAGAATTGAACACACTTACTGAAATTTATCTAATACTTTGTACAAAAGCCTTTGTTGTCAATGACAGCTTCAAGACGCCTCCTGTATGGAGAAACTAGTGGCATGCATTGCTCAGGTGTGATTTTGGCCCATTCTTCCACAAACAGTCTTCAAATCTTGAAGGTTTCGTGGACCTCTTCTATGAACTCTGATCTTTAGTTCTTTCTATAGATTTTCTGTTGGATTCAGGTCAGGTRATTGGCTGGGCCATTCCAGCAGCTTTAGTTTATTTCTCTGAAACCAACTGAGAGTTTCCTTGGCTTTGTGTTTGGGCTCATTGTCTTGCTGAAATGTCCAGCCACGTTTCATCTTCATCATCCTGGTAGATGGAAGCAGATTTTTATCAATAATGTCTCTGTACATTTTTCCACTCATCCTTCCTTCAATTATTTGAAGTTTGCCAGTACCATATGCTGAAAAACAGCCCCACACCATGATGTTCCCACCTCCAAACTTCACTGTTGGTTTGGTGTTTTTGGGCTGATGTGCAGTGCCATTTGACCTCCAAACATGATGTGTATTCTGGCATCCAAACAGTTCAATGTTGGTCTCATCTGACCAGACTATATTCTCCCAGTATTACACAGGCTTGTTTAAATGTTGTGCAGCAAACTTTAAAGGAGCTTCAACATGCTGTTTCTTCAGCAGTGGAGTCTTGCGTGGTGAGCGTGCATACAGGCCATGGTGGTTCAGTGCATTACTTATTGTTTTCTTTGAAACAATCGTACCTGCTAATTGCAGGTCTTTCTGAAGCTCTCCACAAGTGGTCCTTGGCTCTTGGACAACTCTTCTGATAATTCTTTTCACTCCTCTGTCAGAAATCTTGYGAGGAGCACCTGGTCGTGGTCGGTTTATGGTGAAATAATGTTCTTTCCACTTCTGAATTATGGCCCCAACRGTGCTCACTGGAACCTTCAGAAGTTTAGACATTCTTCTGTAACCGATGCCATCATTATGCTTTGCAACAATAAGGTTGTGAAGGTCTTGAGAGAGCTCTTTACTTTTACCCATCATCAGATGGTTCTTGTGTGATACCTGGCCATCATTTGGGACTGAACCAGCTGATATTAACTTGCACTGACAAGGGGCAGGCTTGYTTTCTAATTACGGAGAGAGTTCAGCTGGTGTCTTGGCTTTCCATGCCTTTTTACACCTCCCTTTCTTCATGTGTTCAATACTTTTTCCCTGTGCCATTCCACATTATTACAAGTAACTTCATTTCTGGACATTTATGGTTTGATTTCTTTGTATGTATGGATCACTTGGGTTGTTACCGACATCTGGTGAACATTTCATGTCATTAGCACCTCTAGTAATATATTTACTGAGAAAAATGTTGACGTGTTCAATACTTATTTTACCCGCTGTAGATTTAATAATTAAAATAAATTCACATTTTTCTTTACTTCCCATCCAATCAGTCACTAAGTTTATCACCAGTGTCACCAGTGATCTCAGGGCGCAAATTTTTTTTCCACCTGAGCTCAAAGTCCATAAATACAAAACAGAACAAGACTTTCATTTCTTTTACCAGCCACCCTTTGCTGTAAAGACTTGAAACAGGTCCCATATTGTGTTGATTTCTCCCATCAGTGTGGAGCTCCTCTGAGACCCCTCCAGGCCGGTGACAAGTCTTACAGCCCATTAATCCCCCCAGCGGGGCTGCAGCTGCTCTTTTCAGCTCAGCTATTGTCACATAATACAGAAACGGTTGACATTCAGCTCAGAGACGTTGTTAACAAGGAGCATAGGAACTTTACTATCCCGTCCCTCTTTGTTCGCAAAAAACGTTTGACACTGACTCTCAAATATGACCTTAAAAATAACAATAAAATACTAGAATATATTGTAGCTGTTTCTCTACACTTTGTCTGCTTCATTTTTATTGATGACCACAATGGCTTATTTAGCTCACTTGTCTTAATTTATCTCAATTTTCTTTTAAGGTGACAACATGCATATACTTCAAATACAAAAGGTCAAAGAAAACTTCTTTATATTTTATAAACTTGGCATAATACGAATGATTTTAAACTTTTTGTTTCATAACTGGCATATCTTCTTTCAAATTTGGCTCAGCCAAAATGAAACAGGAAATGACATCAAAAGGGAACTCACTGACCTTTGTTTATTGAAACAATAATATTTGAACTTTTTTTAATCTCTCGCTCTGATAGTGACTGAAAATAATCTAAAGAAACATCAGTTTATCAGCTGTTGTAGCAACACTCTGTTCACACTGAGACATTCCCCTTTGACATCACTTCCTGATACTTTACATGCAAATATCTCAACAACTGTTCATCTCAGCGATGTAAAAAAATGCTGCAATATGTTATTTATATAATCTTTCAAAAATGCATTCATATTTATTACAAAAATTTGATATTAGGGACTCTTTAAAAAACTGATTTAYTGAAGTAAATGTTGGTGTTTTGAGGAAAACGAACAAACTAAATTCCTGTTTAGAGTCAAAACACCCCGACTGTTCTCATTGACCCTGTTTCCATCCCTTCCTCCTGACTCAGACTGTAACAGCTGTGTTTACATGTTCAAGCACAAGATGTCAAAGCTTCCTAAATGTCAGCCACCTCTTCCCTCCCTGAACGTTTGCGCTCCTCGCGGTGCCGTGGATCCTTTAGCTGCTGCAGTAAACCGGAGTGAATAAATCATCCACTGGACGCACTCAGATGCGACTGAAGTCACCTTCTCAGAACGACCGCAGAAGGTGTCACCCTAAAAATACACCGCCGCTCCCGCTGAGCATGTGCAGAGCCGTTCATGTGGACGTGCGCACACCAGCTTATAAATTAGTCAAGAGCAGAGTCGACGTGTTGAGTTACAGAAATATTTACACGTCTAACATTAGCATCTGGGAGGTTTTATGACACTCTTATCCAAACTATGATAAAAAAAAAACATATGCGGAGGACATTGTCAAACAAAACACGTAAATCTAAATTAACCTTTTCTTTTTTTTTATTTTACTTTTTCACAGCCTGCTGGACCTTGAATCTGAGAGAGATGAAAGGTAAAACTGTGCACATGATCCACCACCGACATGTATTTTTAGTTGGAACATTTTCAAACTCAGACCGGCCCGGATTACTGAAGCGGTTCTGTTGTGCTGCAAGTTCAGATTAAAGGAAAGCTGGTTGACTGAACTTTTAACAAAAAGGACGGTGTTTTAAAAAGCTGGGCTGACAGCTGAAGAGGACTTATTGTAAAGGTTGTAAAGCCCTGCTTCTGTTTGACTGATGCTCAGTCACAGTGAGACAGTTTTAGTCACTGCTGCTGCCTCAGCTCAACGCTCCTGTTGGACCAAAACATTTTAAAATTACGAGAAAAAAAAAACAATAAAAATAAATTTAAAAAACAGTTAATAAATTTAATCTGGACCACTTGTGCTTTTAAACTAAAAACCAGAGGTCTATAAAGTACTTTGGTTTTTAGTTTAAATGCACAAGTGGTCCAGGTCTATAAAGTACTTTGGTTTTTAGTTTAAATGCACAAGTGGTCCAGGTCTATAAAGTACTTTAAAAAAATAACAAAATGACTTTGGGAAAAAAAATTTCACTGATGAGAAAACAACTCAATTAAAAGTCAGAAAACTGTTCACAAAAATTGGGAAAGTAAAAGTACTTTTACACACTCCCTAAGAAATAAACTGTTGAATTTACTGAACCAAACTGGTTCCACTAAACCAGGTTGCTTAAATTGAGCAATATATGTATATTTTTTTGCTCAATTTACTCAACTAGGCTTAGAGTTGACTTGACTTTGAGTAAATTCAACACTTCATGTTTTAGAGCATAAACATCTTCTTTCATGATGAGGTCGAACATATTAAGTTTTTAACGAGTAACTAGGTGTTAAATTTGAAAGTAAAGAAGTAAAAGTGTCATTTTTAGCTTTAAAATGTAACGAAATAAAAGTAAAAGTAGCCATTTCAAAAAATAATTGGAAAAATTACAAATCCTCAAAAAACTACTTAAGTACTGTAATGAGGTAAATGTACATAGTTACAGTACTATAAAACGCTGCAAAAAACAATTGACTTGAAGAAAAATATTTTTCTTCTCAGCCTTTTTTTCTGTCTAGAAGAGACTAGTGAAGGTTTGAGATGTAAAACTTTATTTTGAAAGGACTGTTTAAAGTAGAGGTGTGTCAAATTCTACATTCAAGAACTGATTGTTTGCAAAAAGGAGCAGGTTTTGATCAAACTTTAGCTTAGTGAGCAGACAGCACTTAGAAATAGTCCAACCATAGAACATATAGTGACTATCAGTGAGAATTAAAAGCTGTTTTGCCGCTGCTCGGTGTTTTTCTGTGAGCTCCAGAGGAAACAAACAGGAAGAGCAGCAGGACACGATCAAACAGAAACAAACATCACGTTAACCTCAGACCTGCTGCTGACGTACAAATCTCAAATCCTCCGACATCCAAGCGGGTTGATTCTCATTTCCATATCGGCAAACTACAGACGTGCAGGAGGGGAGGGGCGGCGTGGGGCTGTTATTTTTAGGAAAGGACATTAATGTTACGAGTATTAATGCAGCTGTCCTGCTCGTGTTTGGACTGCCGAGGGAGGAGTGTGTTTGTTTTTCTGTGAAGTCATCATCCGGGTCTCTAATGTGCGTTTTAATGATTTCTCTTGCAGTCCCACAGACAGAGAGGCAACAGGTGACAGAGACGTCAGGTGAGCTTCAAACCTGACGACCCTCTCCATGGAGATGCACCATCATTATTAGCAGAGATGGGAAAACGGTGCTTAAGGTTACCTAGAAATCCAGCATCCACTCCCCCTGCTTGCATGCTTTACCCCTGACCCTCAGCTCACACCTGACTTCACAAACGCCTCTGTAATTATCCTCCGGCCCGCTGTCTGACTGGAGATGTCAGCCTCTGACAGTGAGGAGTCCCTGTGGTCCAGAGATTAGACTGCTCCTTAACCTTAACCCATGTGTGAAACAAAGACTCATTAAGCAGTAACATTGAAACAAGTAGGAGATTATCCTGTCTGTCTGACGGCTCTGTGTGTCCTAACTGACAGGAAGAGAGGTCCTGTGGCCTACGCTTCCCAGAAGCCCTGGCTGCTGAACGCCTCTTTGGTGGAGAACATCACCTTTGAGATGCCCATGATCAAATCAAGGCAAGACCTTACTGCTGCATGTTTTATGTGCTTGCACATTGCTTTATTTTTACGTTTCATTCTTTTTAAATGAGTCAAAATCTCAGGAAATCCAACGTTCATAAGAGGTTATTTCTACTAATAGAAGCAGACGTTTGAGGGTTTTCAATTGATTATTGAGCCAATTTTATTTTCTCTTTGTTTACACCTATAGCAGCGATTAATCACCCCTTTTAAAAACATCATACTGCATTATAGATTAATTATCGGTGTTAATTGTACCGTTTTTGCTGGCAAGCTTGAATTAACTGACAGCTGATTAGGTTAAAGCTTGGACAGAATATTTGAGTTTCCAGAGTAATTTTTTAAACCCAGTACACACCAACGATATCAAACACTGAAACACTCAGGCCCGCTTTTCATGCTCACAACAATTAGCTTGTGTTTTGCTTTAATGGAAGCAGAAAGGCTCTCTGGAGGTCTAATGGACTGTGCTTCCTTTTCTTTCTTTTGCTATTCATAAAATACTAATGGATCCGTGCGCTTTGTTGCCTTGGATATGTTCTATCAATTAAACAAAACCCCCTGTCTCTTATGGCCCCATCCTGTTTTGGTTGATCTGGTTSAATACAGACCGTGCAGCAGGTGTTTCTGTCTTTACATCGGATGTAAACAGTCTGCAACAGTTGCTCAGATTTACACACAGATGTTATAAACGACACGTGGACGTTTTGCATGTGCAAATATTTGCGAACACTCTTCATACCTGTTGGATGAACACCTGGGATGGTGTAGCCATTTTTGTTTTTACTGTTAACTCGATGGTTTTTAGTGCAGCTTATTACTTCCTGTTTAGATCAGTCTATCCTCCGTGTTCTGCAACAGATTTGTCAGCTTCCTGAGTCAGAAACAAAGCACGCGCAGTGATTCTGTAAAGCTGTAAAAATCCAAACTGTCTAGAGTTTGTAAGCATTTGGTTTTCTGGGTCACGACCTCGTATTGTCAGAGTTTAACCTCAAAGCTGCAGCAGCTTTTACATTACGTTAGGATGACTCCAAGTCATTTGAAAGCATGTGGTTTGCTGTAAATGTGCGGTGTAGAAATTACATTTTAAATTCAAATAACACAATCAGATGACTAATGTGTGGCAAATTGTTCCTTCCTTTGCGTTATTTCTATATGATGAAACGAGACAATTTTCTGTAAAATCTCCAACCTTTTTATCACTTCAGCGTTGGCTTCCTCTGACTTGTATTATGCATGACAGCAGATGATATGTAAAACCATTTAAATGACTGTGCCAGCCTGATTGCCGGTCATCAAGGGAACAATGAGCGGATCTCGGTCCTCATTTGTATTCYGTCTTTGCGCCTGGCAGATACAAAGCAGTCATCGAGGCCTGCTCCCTTCAGCCTGACATTGACATCCTTCCTCAGGGGGACCAGACAGAGATTGGGGAGCGGGTCAGTATTACATCACCTTTTTTTATTACTTTTAATAATTTTTGATTCATCACACCTCACCCTTCCTGCATCGCCACATTTCAGCAACATTGTTTTCTGTGAGCAGGTGGCTGGACTGCCCTGGTTTAGTCGAAGCTCTGTCACGTTGGCTATTTTTCACACACGGCTAATGAAGGAAATAAACCCATTATCCCCTTTGTTTCTCTGGAGACCACACACACGCTCTGCAAATGCAGTTCCTTCACACGTTTTTCCATTTTCCCCGTGCAGGGAATAATCCTATCAGGGGGACAGAAACAACGAATCAGTGTGGCCAGAGCTCTGTACCAGCAGACCAACGTGGTTTTTCTGGTGAGTCTGATGTTCAACTCATCAGAAGGTTTCATCTTTTTTTTATTTTAGGCGACGTGAAACCAAAGACTCAGATGCGATTCTATTTCTGAAACTGTCCTGCTTGATAAAAATAACTGCACGCCTCCTAATCTCTGAGCTTTGAAATGTCAGACCCTGATGGGTTTTTAAATCTGCTTCTCAGTAATTATAACATTTTAAAACATGGTTTCACTTTCTGTAATAGTTTTTTTTTATAGTTGGATGAAATATTTGCCATAATTTTCAATATAAACTGAAAATTAAATCCTGTAGAGGACTTTAGGGGTGGGATAAACAGAAGTTGTTACAATTGACATATCTTTCTGGCTTGTGTTTCATACAAACATGAACAACAAACATTGTCCTTCAGGGTTAAGCGTGGGTATAAATGTTTTTTTTTTTTGTTCAAACATGGCTGCAGAGACAGATGTGTGCTGATGCATGAAATGTTTGTGTTCCTTTGCGCGCTTTTAAACCTGAGTGTATATATTTTTAGGACGACCCATTTTCTGCCTTAGACATCCACCTGAGTGATCATCTGATGCAGGACGGCATCCTGAAGATGCTGAGAGAAGAGAAAAGAACCGTGGTGTTGGTCACACACAAGCTGCAGTACCTACCGCACGCAGACTGGGTAAAACCACAGTGTGTGTGTGTGTGTGTGTGTGTGTGTGTGTGTGTGTGTGTGTGTGTGTGTGTGTGTGTCTGTGTGTGTATTGGATCTTTAAACTCTTTACCAGAACAATTTGTGCAGCTAAACATAATAACCCAATTTATTGCTGTTTTTATATAAGACTGTTTATCTCAAAAATCTCAGGAGCACATAAAGCTTGATTATCTGTGTCTGCATGTGTGTGTGTGTGTGTGTGTGTGTGTGTGTGTGTGTGTGTTTGTTATCAGATTATTGCAATGAAAGACGGCACGATCCAGACCGAAGGGACTCTGAAGGACATCCAGAACTCGGAACCCGAACTCTTCGAGCACTGGAAGACCCTAATGCACAGACAGGACCGGGAGTTTGAGACGGTGATTATTGATCGCTGAGTTAAAATAATCACGACTCAGAGTCAGCAGCTAACGAGAGCTGATTGTTGGATTCAGCTTTCGGCGGAGACGAGTGTTTGTTGGAATTTGTAAACTCTCCTTTCAGGAGACGGTTGCAGCGAGCTTGACTGACATGGAGAGGAAGAACCTTCGGAGGGCCATGTACTCCAGGGATGCAGTGAGGACCGAGGACGACGAGGAAGGTGAGCGAAGACCAGCTGGACTGAATATGTGCATGACTGCAGCAGGAGCGTCTCTGGTTTCAGCCCGAGTGTTACATGCAGGCTGTCATTTCCCCATCACCTGCTGTGTTTGCTGAGAAGAAGCATCTGTTACATTTCTCATCAAGCTTAATTTAATGTTTATGTTGCATCAGTGGCTTCAGTTGTATGGGGCACTAAGTGTAAAATAAAATGTTTAAAATTGTCACTAACACCTTTTTATTATTTAGATCACTTTCTGAGATTGAAATCCYAGTTGAAACATTTCCACTAACATTTTATCATTTAGCTCACTGTTCTCACATTTAGCTAACTTTTCTAAATGTTCAATTTAAATGTTAATATGTGTAAATACTGAATGTAAATGTGGATAAATGTTGAATTTACATAAGTATTTATAAATGGAATGCAGTCTTTGCTGTTGGTGCTCAGCTCTTTTTATGATGTCATCATCCTGTGACGATAACAACCGCTAATGCTGCTAACGCTTCCATACAAGACATTAAACTTGCAGCTGCGGCCGGTGTCCGAGTGCATTTCAAACTGCTGGACCACAGGTACCACCCATGTTGTTTTCAATGAACACAATTTGAATTTAGATTTTAGATACCATCTTCAGTGTTAGCAATGTTTGAAGCTTTTGCAGCATTTGCTTTTGTCTCAAGATGATGACATCACAACTCAAGCCTTGTACCAACAGCCAAGGCTGCGTTCCATTCTTACATTTGTAAGCTTTTTATTTAACATTTACGATAAAGGTTCACACATTTAGATTTAAGATTTTGTATTTACACATATTAGTTAACATTTTAAATTTAACGTTCAGTAAAAATTTGCAAAATGTAAGAGCAGTGAGCTAAATAATAAAAAATGTGTTTGTGACATTATTTAACATTTTATTTTACACTTGGTGCTCCATAGTTGTGCTCTCTTAGTTGGTAAATGCAAACATTTTTAGGTTTCCTGGTCTGTCTTTTCTTTCTTTTTTTTATCTCATAGTTATTAGATATTTCACATTCTGCCTCCTGCTGTGGTGCAACACTGGAGCTGACCTTTTGCGTACCTGTGCTGTTGAGAGTTTTGTGATGAGAGGAGCTGAGGTGCATTAGCTGTACTTTTTATCTGTACTCTGTATTGTCTCCTGCGTGCTGGTGGCACCCCGGGGTGGACTGGTGCGGTCGCGGCTGCAGCAGCGAGTGTTGCCCTTGTGTTCCATCGAGCAGGTGTGAACCAGAAAGCATGGTTTGGAAAATAAAAAATGAACAAATAAATGAATCAAAACCAGATTTAAAAAATCTGTTTGTGGCGTTTGTGATGCTTCTAGCAAATATCAGTTCTGTCGGTTCCTTTTGCTGTACGTCTTCTTCACACTTGTCCCTCAGTCATGTCTCCCTGCTGCCACTAAAAGTGTCTCTAATGCAAGCATGTTTGTAGATGGTAGTTTTAGTGCTGACGGTCATTAGGCCCTTTGCTTTTCCTGCCTTCTCCTCCTGCCTCCTCTCCGCCTCCAGCTTGTCTGAGTCTCTCAGACGTCCACATGCAGCCTCACGCTCTAAAGCTTGCTACGTAACGCGGTGTGTGATATTTAATGGGTGGAGAGAACGTGAGAGGTCGTTCACGTTGGCTTCTCGTTGAAATTAGCATCTGCTTGGAGTTGAATGTTGGGGATTCTGTAATTTGTCGCTTGTTTTAATGTTGGTCTTTCCTGTTTTTGGTTCTCATAAGTTTCAGTCAAAAAAAGGCACATAAATGAAATTAATTAAGAAATATTTTAGTGTTTGAGGAGATATTTCTCATTAAAATGCACTGACTTCTCTGTTCGGACTCATCTGTGTTTTTGCTCCCAGAAGAGTCTGTGGAAAGCGACGACGAGGACAACCTGTCCCAAGTGATGCGCCAGCGGGCCACCATCCCATGGCGTTCTTGCGGCACCTACCTGTCCTCCGCCGGCCTCCCCCTGCTCGCCCTGCTCCTCCTCTCGCAGCTCCTCAAGCACTCCCTGATGGTCGCCATCGACTACTGGCTGGCTCGCTGGACGTCGCACGTCATCATGGCCAAGATCGAAGCCAAGACCCACAACTGTACCGTCGCGCAGGTAAAGCAGAAGAGCCAGCATCTGGTTTCCCTCGCTGTGAATGATGTTTGTGTTATTGCTCAGCTCCCAGGAGATTTTAAGACTTTCACACCCTTTTCATTCATCATCACTTCAACTACATGTTAGCTACACTCTGATCTCTGTGGGAATTTATGTCTTTGATGATGTCAGACTTCAAAAATATTCACCGCCCCCTAAAACAATGGGATTGCACATCCACTCTTTAATATCCATCCATCCATCCATTTTCTTCCGCCTATCCGGGGTCGGGTCGCGGGGGCAGCAGCTTCAGAAGGGAGGCCCAGACCTCCCTCTCCCCAGC